GACTGTGGTGAGAGAGGTTTGAAGATGAATTTCATTAAATAAATGCTGTAGCACTTTAGCACTAGGTAAATAGCTAGCTGCAATGTATTAGGCAGGTTCTAGGGTATCTAGGATAACACTAGGCAAGTCACGGCATAACACTTTTGTAGCCTTGAAAACATTCCTACCAACATTAATAATCAAAATACCTCCATGATACAGATAAAACTAATGAGCCAGACAAGCGTGTTTGTCCAGGTTTTTAGAGAGAACCAATGTCAAGTTCTCATCTCTTAGGGATGTGCTCAGAGCCTGCTGCCAACTCTTTTTTTTCCTTTAGCAGAAATCTGTTAATAGAGTCAAATACAGTTATAACCAAGTCTGTGATTTTTTTGAACTACTTTATAATAAAAGCCAGGATTTTTGCACCTATCCAAGATTACCCACAATAATTACAACTTTCAAGGGGGTGAGGGGGTGAATATAGTGAAACATGCTGTGATAACATCTTCTCTGTTCGCGTGCTTTTCAGTGTCCAAGGATGTAGATGCATGCTGTCAGGAACCTCGTGAACTTTAAATTGGCCAAGTAGCTTATTCCCCTTATTTTTTCCTTTTCCCCTAAGTCTCAGTTAGAAATTAAAAGAATTTCCCAAGAAGCATCCAGTTCAACTACTGTCCTGGTTGTCAGCTGAAGGTTTTCTTTCTGGTCTTCTAGGTCAGCAGAGAAAAAGATGTCTTCTTCCAGTTTGTTACTTAGCTGTGCGTATTCATGGGACAGAACTGAGGTTGGGAATATTTCTACAGTAGTATTTGCCTACAGAAAAAGCCAGAGCAGCTGAAAATGTCAGAAACGGCACGTCAGAGACTGCAATCAGTTGTGTGAAGAGGCAAAACATATGCATTTGATTCTTATCCGTCAGTTCCCATGCAGTGTTGCTTGTAATGTTAGTTGTCTTTAGAAATACGTGTAATATTTGTAATTGCTGTGTTATCACTTCCTAGGCATGCATTTAATTCTCCTCTGCTTCACACTGCTCGTACTTAATTATTAGGATTATGATTGCAGACACATTAATATAATGGGAATTCAGGCGTTAAGGTGGATATGAAACTCACAGTGCTGTGGGTGGCTGAACAGCTGCAGTGTTGCTCACTTTTTAAGACAGTTGAGCTAAACCAGTTTAAAATTAATTTATAATTTAAAACTCTTCTGAGTTCGTATGGCATTTGGATAACCAGATACATCCCCTTTTCCACATTAAGTTTTGAGGCCTGAATTTTTACTTAACTTGCACAAAACATAAGGTTTTATTTTGACTCCCGCAAGTGAAATATTTCAGAAATATACAAGCAAGATCTAAGACTATATTACGTGAAACTTTTGCTTCTGCTATGGTTGCTGTACTGTTGTAGCATGCTCTCTAACCTCTGTAGTTGCAGATCAGTGTCCTGGTTTGAAGGTGCTTCCCTAACAGCGATTCCCCGCTCTGTCCCCCCTGCTTTGACTATCAAGGTGTAATTTCAATTTGCATTAGAAAATCGAATGTTTTCTGTGTGTTTAAATGTGTTAAGAAATAGGACCTTTTTGAAATTTTTCCTGTAAAGAGACTCTTTGGTCGTGGACGATCTCTACTGTTGGAGATAATATGGAGATAATATTGAGCCTTACTTAAGAAGACCTGGGTTCCTGTTCACTTCTGCTGTGGTCAAGCTAACATTCTCTGGACAAAACAGTGTCTGGTGGCACTGTAAGTTCTTTGGAGATGGTAATGTCAGGAAAAAGAAGTGTGTGTGTTACTTAGTACCATGGGACTTGATACCATTTAAGTACTTCTAACAAAATGTCGACACAAATAGTTAATGAAACAGAAGAGATCTGAAAGGAGTTTTATTTGAAAAATCTCCATAGAAATACCATCTATTTAACACAGCATAGATCAGTTTTGAACACAACCCTTTTACTATTTTGAAGATCCTCCCTTTGTGCTTAAAGTTGATGCTTTTCCTATTGTCTTGATTCTGACCTGTTTTCTAAGCCAGACATATCAGGGTAGCTCCAAGACCACTGTTCCTGGGGGATAATCCTTGATGAAGAGCATGAGAACAGCATCACAGACTATGGACTTCTTCTGTTCCCAGATAGCTTTTTAAAATAGCTGTCTGGGCACCCTCTCACATTTGATGTACTCTGAAGTAGTTCCAGTGAGGTAGTTGATAGTCTCACCTTTCCTTCATGCTGTTTGCATTATACCTAGTTAATCTTTAAAAGGTTCTTTGTTGGAATATACATCTAGCAAAAAGAAGCATGGTAGAAGAGGAGGTATAAGCTATAGATTAGATTTCTGTACACAATGGTCTTTTTTAAGAAAATATTTGCTTGCTTGCTTTTTTTTTTATAATAATTCTTTTCCCCACCCACTCTTCAGAAAGTAAACCAACATTTGTCGGCATAAAACTCCCAAAATACAGACGTGGAGCTGTTGGAGTGAGGCCAGAGGGAGCCACAAAGATGCTCCGAGGGCTGGAGCACCTCTGCTCTGGAGACAGGCTGAGAGAGCTGGGCTTGTTCAGCCTGGAGAAGAGAAGGCTCCAGGAGACCTTAGAGCAGCTTCCAGAGCCTAAAGGGGCCAACAAGAAGTCTGCAGAGGGGCTTTTGACAGGGGCCTGCAGTGACAGGACAAGGGGGAATGGATTTAGGCTGACAGAGGGGAGATTGAGATGAAATCTTAGGAAGAAGCTCTTCCCTGTGAGGGTGCTGAGGCGCTGGCACAGGGTGCCCAGAGAAGCTGTGGCTGCCCCATCCCTGTCAATGTTCGAGGCCAGGTTCTATGATAATGTAAAATAGCAAATACTGGTTTAGGTATCCCATGATTTTTATTCAGTAAAGGTGCTAAAATCCAGGCGATACCTGACCTTTTGAAAAGGAATGCTTTTTGCTAGCAGTGCCTTCTAAGGATTGCTGGTGCAATGCTCCCTTAATGGAAAGGAATCTTGAAAGAAGTAAGAACTGTTGCTGTGCTTACCTAAGGGGTCAGTGGAGGAATGAAGCTGTCTTAAGTTGTCTGGTCACCTGGGACTGTTACCTTCTGAGCTTGGACAACAGTTTTGCTATGTCCAGAGAAGCAAGCAGAAATTTCAAGCATATGAAACACTTCCTGAAAATCAGTTTTTACTTTCAACTTTTGAAGTTAGAAAATCTGTATTATGGAAGTTTGGTGGTAGACATCTCCTTTGCTTTGCTGTCAAGAATGGGCTCTCCCTCCTCCCTTTTCTCCACATGGTTTTTGAGCTCTGAGTTATTGTTGCTTTCCTTCTTCCCAAGCCTTTCTCGAAGTTTGTTAGTGCAGCTAATGCTGTAGTTACCAAACCTCATCAGCTAACACTGACTGGGAGAAGCATTTTTGCTGAATGATTCTTGTCTCTCCCTGAGCCTGCAATAAGAGCTCATGGAGCTCTGCAGCGCACCGCTCTGATTGTAAACTTAGACCGATGGCTTTATTTCTGTTGAGGTTGGTTTTGTTTGGATCAGCTCTTTAATGTGGTTTGCAGCACACAACCATGCTGTGCTTGTATGTGAGAAGGGGTGATACAGATGTGAGAACAAGTAGCCCATGGCAAGAAGTGCAGCACCCCTTCATTCACGAGATGCTGCGACCTGGGAGTAGTTCAAAGCGCGCGTTAAACTATGTCCTTGGTGCTAGGTAGCAAGTTGTTTGGGGGATGTTACAACACTGCTTTCCTAGATCCTTTCCTTGCAGCCCAAGCATCATTTCTTTTAAGAGCTTCTGAGATAGTATTTGGAGCCTAAGCTCTGATTTCAAAATACGTAAGCAAATAGCACAGTCCAGCTCCCCAAGTGAATGTGAATTTGGTTTTGATGTGCAATAGATGCAAAGTCCAAGTCTCCAGACCTCCATATACATGACTAGATGTGAATTATTCCTAGAAGAATAGTCTCGTGAGGATTTGAACTTCTGGTGTTATCGGTGGGCTCAAAAGGTATGTCCCACATTGGCCATTTTCATTCTATTTGGGCTGTAGGTGGTAACTGGAAGTTACTAGCTCCTGCTGGTGTTTGCTGGTGTGGATGAAATGCCACGAGTGACTTTTGTTCTGGTTTCTTGTTTTGGAGTGTGGCTAAACGATAAAAACTCCTTGTCAGTTCTCAGTCTGCACAGCATCAATTTAATAACCGGGTGGGAAAGGCACATACTCCTATTGCTCTTTCTGTGCTGAAGCATGCATGGGTGAATCTGGGAAAAATGTGTTACACACCTAAACGCTTTACTGAGTGTCCTGTTTTGTACCGTAAAAGTAGATGCCAGAAAGATGACACTGAAGATGTCATTTGTCTTTGAAGCGTGCTTGTCATTGTTTGGCACCCTTTCCACGAGCAGTGAAACTTTGCAGTGGGGAGGAAGAATAGAGGAGAGAAAACAACAGCAATCCTACTGCCTTTGAATGAACTTTGCGTTAACTTTGGCCAGATGAGAAATGCTTGTTGTAGTTGTAACTTGCTTTCTTGTTGGGATGTCTGGAGTAAATCATTAATGTAATTTGTTTACAAAATACTTCAGTTTTCTGTTAGCCTGTGTCATTCCTTACGTAGGGCTTGTGTGTGAAAAGTACATTTAATGCACTGATAAAACTAGTGGGAAGTTTAGCTGGGCTGAGGAATGCTGTATAACATGATGGTATATTTGGAACTACACCCACCAAATTTATTGGGGTTTTTATGATTCTAGATAGAGATTGGTGTGTTCCATAGTAGTGTAGGAGGCTGGGAAAAAGATGCTGTAGTAGTGAAATAAGAGTGCCAGCGTAAGTAGCTAGTTAAGAAGAACTGATTGGGAATAACTCCCTGCTCAGACAAGTCTATATTTCGATGAAAGTTTGATGTCCTTATTTCAAGGAAATCTCTTCTTATAGTGACAGTGGCAGTTCAAAGCTTGCTGGGCTGTATTGAAGCGTTCACCTCAATAGCAAAGGAAATGATACCCAGAATGGTTTTCTCCCCAGGTGCTGAAGAAGTCTTGCTGCTTGCTAGAAGGACTGACTTGAGGAGGATTTCCCTGGACATGCCAGATTTCACTGACATTATTCTGCAGATAGACAATATCAGACATGCAATTGCCATAGACTATGATCCTGTGGAAAGCTACATCTACTGGACCGATGATGATGTCCGGGCAATTCGACGGGCCTACCTTGATGGCTCTGGAGCACAGACTCTGGTAACCACAGAAATCAACCATCCAGATGGTATTGCTGTGGATTGGGTGGCGAGGAACCTCTACTGGACTGATACTGGAACAGACCGCATTGAAGTGACCCGGTTGAATGGGACATCAAGAAAGATCCTTATCTCGGAAAACCTAGATGAACCTCGAGCAATAGTGCTCAATCCTGTAATGGGGTAAGTTTTGTGTTTATTGGTAGCCCTGTGACTGGTGCACTTTGGGACATGATGTGTGTATAATTTTTCAGATGTTCTGGAAATAACTAGCTTTCTCTTGCAGTAGCTTTTTAATACTGTGTATAGAAAAAGTGACTTCTAAATAACAGTGTTCTTCTGTGAATGTATACATGATGTGTTTGGTTATATTTTCTTTTCTCGGTGTCTTCGGTGTTATCATAACTATGAAAGAATTGGACCACTGCACATTTTCAATAGTTGAATTTATTTAATGCTCAAACTTCAGATTTTCATCAGTGATTGTAGTTCAAGTCAACTTGTTTCCTGCAGTTGGGGAAACAGGAAGTTAGTAAGTTCTTTCAAAAGCAGCACAGATCTTGACGCTTGTTTGACTTGCATGTTACATGCATAGACTGTTTCTCCTCTTTTATTTTTACAGCTACATGTATTGGACAGACTGGGGTGAAAGTCCAAAGATAGAATGTGCTTATTTGGATGGCTCAGAAAGGCGAGTTCTGGTGAATACATCCCTGGGTTGGCCTAATGGCTTGGCACTGGATCTGGAAAAAGACAAGCTTTACTGGGGAGATGCAAAAACGGATAAAATTGAGGTGAGTAATAGAGCCATACTTGGGTGCATTCTTAGAAGACAAGTGCAGTTCTTGTGCTGCTTTATATTTCAGATACATTTATGCATTTTTTTGAGGAGTCTGTTGTTTCGTTAATATTAACGTGGTATTTAGCATAACAAGACATATTTGAGAAGAGAGGAAACACATTCATGTGGTTCAGAAAACTTTGCAAGAAATGTTGTTTATTATGTCTACATTGCTGCAAATGTATTTTAATTGCTTGAAATCTCAAGTTTTACGGGAGGTTTTTGCAACAAATTGGGACATTCAGATACAACCTCTTTAAAAGATGTTTTGACTTGTCTTTAGTGCTTGGAACTAGTATCTAAAATTGCTGCATGTGCAAGACTTGATGCAAGGTTCATGTACAGGAGAAGGTGGATGTGTGGGCTTTAGAGAGCCAAGTTTCAGGACCTTAATGCTTGTGTGGTGTCCGGATGAATGGACAAGAAGTAATATTTAATGTATCATCTGCTCTGAAAACCATGTAAAAATGTTCTACCTCTGAATTTGAGGAGAGGAAATCCACTTCACAATGTTTATGAACATTTATGACAATATTATTTCTTAGGTGTTGAATGAGTGTCTGATAGAAGATGATGTGATGCCATTATGCCCCCCTTTCTTTGGGAAGAATTTTCTTGAAAATGCAAAAAATGCATCCTTTCTACCTGTTTCTCAAACATTAGACAAATTTGGGCAAATTATCTGCTCATTTGTTATGACAGGCTTCCAGAAGTAAGTTAGTGAAATGTCTCTGGAAAGTCACTGCTTTAAATGTAAAATATGGTCAAAGCAGGCATCTCTACTGGTCTAGTCATGGACATTGACAATTGCACCAGGGAAGCCCAGTGTTTCAAGAGACTTTCTCCTAAAGGAGATGCCATTTTCCCCATTGGTTTTGCATTAGTATCCATGATAAAATCTTAAAGAATAATTATGCTGCCGGAGAAGTGAAATGATGCTTAGATAGTGCTGCAAAGGACTGAGTGCCAGAGTAGTTTCACCTAGAGCAGAACGTGATAAATAACTGAAAGGGTTAAAATGGAAGTTTTAGGGCAAGGGTTTTTTGGGATTCTGCGTGTGTGCTCGTGAGATTCTGAGGTTACAGTGAATTGTTAACAGCAGTATTCAACTGAGGAAATTCAGCACATTGGTAGAGCTCGATAATATTGTGATGTAAAAGGGCACATGCCTTTTGGGTAATCTAAGGCTACCAAAGAACAACCATTTCATACATACTTCGTGTATGTACTGATGGTTTTGCTGAAGACCTGTACATAGTAGTGGGCTTACTTGCATGAGTGGTGTCCATTTAACTTGAGACAGATGAGGATATGGATAGAGAATATGAATAGAGCCAGATGTTGTGAAGAAGTCTCAAACAGTTACTTAGGACCTTGTGTTTTCCACCACTCTCAGTGCTTAGTTTCTAATTAAAATAGTTGTTTTTAAAAGTGCATCTGGTTACTAGCCACTTAACGCTTACATTTCTAAGAAGGAAAAACTGGGTTTTGACCCTCAGTCTGAAGTTGTTCCAGTAAGTTATAGTGAAGCTGCAAGATGAAGAGAAAGTGCACTAAGAAAACATTTTAAAATAGAAGCAGATTGCTCTGATGGATTGTATTTCACTTTTAGTGCCCATCTTGCTATAATTGTAACCTGACAGTCCTTTCCTGCAAGAATTCTGTGTTTGAGAGGTTCTGTGGATACCCTAGATTGTCCCAGTAAGCTACTCCGCTGCTCCAGTACACGTGAAACCTTACGATGTGGTGTATGAAGGGGTTTACTCGCTGTTGGAGTCGTTCAGCATAAGCTCATTCTCTCATGCATGTGTTCTGTTGCCAAGAGCATGCCGTTACAGTGGCTTGCCAGGGCAGCTGGTGTCTCAGTGATTTGTTCTGTATGTGTATATATGCTGTTGCATCCATGGCTCATTGGAAACAGAAAGCAGCTGCCTGCAAGTTGAGGATACACATTTACTTTTTATACTGGAGTGGATCTAGCTTAAAATTAGGATTTTGATTTTTCCTCGTAAGCACCTAAAACTGCCTTGAAGCATGTTACTGGATCAACTTAATCTACGTTAACATGTGTTTAAAATCAGCATAAGTGAAGTAGTAGATAGTAAGCTGTGACTCTATTTTGTAACTCATTAGGCAAAAACAAAAATAAAACATAATTGATTAAGTCTTTGGTGGTTTACTCTGTTGCTGTACTGCAAGGAGAGAGTTCTTTCTTCATCTAAAATTGTATTCAGGTTTATGTTGAGTGTCTCTGAAGGAGGAAGACTTCAACTACGTAGTCAAAGCGCAACCTTCTGAACCCCACGTGGTTCAGGAAGTGGCACTCTTGCAGCTGCACTCTGCTGCAGAAGGCAAAGAAGTGGCATGTGGGTTACTGCATGTTGCCTTGTATGTGCTGGAGATAGGAGGCCAAAGAGCTGTTAGATGACAGTAGAGAGGGACAGTGGATAGGCCAGTATATTGCTCTGCATTTGTGTGGTGAAGGTGCGTTATCTATTCCCATCACCTTATTTTCAGAGTAATTAGTTTCTCTTGGGCTTTTGCAGTGGTGTCACTTGACAGTTTTCTCAGCTGAAAACTCCAGTCCCAGATTTCTTGAAGCAACTAGAAATTTTTACTGTGAAAATTTTACTGTGAGGGTGCTGAGGCGCTGGCACAGGGTGCCCAGAGAGGCTGTGGCTGCCCCATCCCTGGCAGTGTTCAAGGCCAGGTTGGACACAGGGGCTTGGAGCAACCTGCTCTAGTGGAAGGTGTCCCTGCCCATGGCAGGGGGTTGGAACTAGATGAGCTTTAAGGTCCCTTCCAGCCCAGACCATTCCATGATTTTTATGAGTCTATGTTCCAGAGATCAAAGATCTGCAGAAGGCGTAAGGTAAAGGAGGAAATTCCCATCTCCACTGTTTTTGTGCTATCCATCTACTTTCACCTGCCTCAGGATATCCAAGCTCACTGTGTAGAAACTGCAGACTAGAATAAACTGAAACCATGATCTCTGCTATGGTGCAGAGCATGATTGGACTTGAAGCCTGTCGGGGAAGAAGGAGTATTGAGACTGATGGCTGATAATGTGAAAAGTGAACTATGTAGTCTGTAGCTTTCTGACAAACTGCTTGTAGGCAAGAATTGCTTTCGTTACAAGGCATTACTTCAACTGCTTTCCATATAGACAAAAACAAGAGTGAACATAGTTTGTGCATGTTTGTGAGTATCA